TTCCAGATTGTCTGATTGAGCGGTTGGAGGTGTAGGCACCTCAGTATGCTTGACATAGGCCAGCACTAGGTCCCCTCCCTCACCCACTCTTTTTCTCTTCACTGCAGGGCTTTTAATACAAATATATATATATAACTAGACGAACCTTATGGTTGTACGGCAGTGAAGAATCAGTGTCAACACTGATGTTGCTGTCTTTGACTTTTGCCACGATTCTCTTTCCAATACTTGGTGTATATTTTTACAACTCCCAGCTATTTAGTCGTGAACGAATAAGAGAAAGCACGATGTGAGTTATGACAGCTAACATTCGGCTCCACATATTGAGAGCACCAGGAACAAGTTCATAAAGCAGAGCACCGTTGCACCTAAACATCTTGGGACTTCAGTCGGTCAGTTGTCCCAATTGTGGTGGGGGCTGTATTCGAGTTTGGAACATGTCCCATGGGGAACTTCAAAAACATGATTAAATTAACCATGCCAAAGATGACTGATGGTTCTGTTGGGCAGCATGGGAGGAAAATTAACAATCCAAACACTCCACATTGGCTGCCGTCGGATGACCTTATCACAAAGCTGAATCAATCAACAGATGAGCTACTCCAACTTCCAGTCGAATAGTGAGTTGTATAGTGCAGTCGGGAAAAAATCTTGCATTTCGAGTGAAAACAGCACATCAGTACAAGTGCAAACTAATCACATCGATAGCAATCGATAATCTGTGTTCATAAGTGCGTAAACGACGTCTTCATGATATCCGTGAGCTGCGCACAGCAGACTATGTCAAACGAGCACGGGAGACCCGCACGGTGTACTTACTCTAAATTTACGCCAAGTGACACAGTTGCACTTGGAATAGAAATGCAGCACCTGTGGACTGACTCCTGTGGATCACAAACCAAACCAAATTAGAGGTACATGAAAGCCAAACGCAGAATTGGTGATCAAACAGTGTGAAGTTCAAAACCAGAATGGGCCAAAACCCAGAGTACAAGTCATGACTGCAACCAGAATAACCACAAATACATGATGGTGGAATCAAAAAGTCGGATGACTTACGGTTCTCACTTTTGGATGAGTAATAAATTCGAAAGAAAAGACATGGAAAATATTAAAATAGGCCGTGCAAGATGGCAACACGTGCCACAGTTATACCTCCTAACTTGCCAGTAGTTGTACAAATAGCGAGATTATAACAGATTGTGAACGAATGACCAACCGCCACCAAATATTCCTAACCTCAGTTGATTTCAAGCGAAACAAGTGAAGCAATTCATTGAACAGAATAAGACTCATTTCTGAGTAGGCGCATTTTTCTTCGTCCTCGTTCCGAACATGGTTTTTTATGCCGTTATGTGCACAACAGTAGGACGCGTGCCCACAGCCTACTTGAGGGTGCCCATGGAAAATCAAACCCGGATCACCAAAATGATGAGGTGCGAGTAAATGGGTCACGTGCAACAAGAACCTGCATTCAACTGTTACGGGGGTGGTTATTCTGTCAGAAAATCGCTGCAAGTATTTTTACATATTGTACGTTCTTGCTCATTACCAATAAACTATGTTGAACACGCTACAGCTTATGACAAATACGACACACACGGCTATGAAGATGATTAAAGTACAGTTATCCGCCGTACAAAGATGATCTTTGGAAAGACTACTATTTATATCAGATAAAAGGCTTCTTTGTGGATTGATTGTTTGTCTCGCGTTTTTTGTGTGCTCTTGCGTGTGAATGATTCTTTCCCTCAAAAGAGCTTCCACCTCCGTGGATGCCGCACCAGATACAGTCAGTCAATAATGTTCCAAACATTTCACCCCTATGAGCAGCACATTTGTCTGCGAAAACAAGCGCCGTAAACTGGCTCACGCAGCCAATGCAAATGAAACTTCATGATGAAAAAAGCTGGTCATTTTGTCAGTGGAGCGGTGTTCATGATCCTTCCTTGGATCATCCTTCCATTATATTCTGACGGGATTTTATGTGTTGATGTCTGAGACTTTCGCCTTGCTGATTTTCAAGCAGTTGAGACTCGTCTATTTCATTCATCCAAATCAAATTTAGCTTATTTCGTGGTGAAAAAACCTGGCTTTCATTTCAACTTGCCGGATGACCACAATTTTCAATTGCGTGCATCCGTGCCATACCGCGACCTATTAAACTACTTTGGCCTAGATGGATTAGCATTGTCTACAGGGTAGCAGCGTTCACTTCTTTTTACGTGCCAAGAAATACTTTGTAAGAAGAGCTGGCTTCCACACAATCCAGGCTAGTGGGTGACAGTAGTCGCAGTAGTCTTATAGTCGTCTTACACAGTAGTCTCACAGATGGTTTGAAGTGTCGTCATCTACAGCGTGACATAAGTGTTCAACACCGATGCTTCACTTCCGTACAACCATTACTTATTTGAAAGCCTTATTGTAAAGAAAAGAATAAAGGTGGATGGGGGAGGGACTTAGTGCTAGCTTAACACAATCATTCCGAGGTGCCTACACCTCCAGACATCCACTCAGGCAATCTGGACAGAAACTGACAACAAGAACGCCACTGACATCGGTTGGCAGCCATATCTTGTAGTGTCTCCAACCAGGCACAGTGAGGATCACGCGGTCCCCAGGTATGAAGTGGCGACTACAGCAACAGCACCAGCATGTATTACTGGTGTGTTGTTCTCGACGACAGTAATGGTTAGAAGCTCTTGAGCACACAGCACATAATGGCAGGTCACTGGATTGCAACTGCTTCGGTTATTTGAAAAAAACGATACCTTATTAAAATCCAGGTCTCCATTTTTCGATGAACAGATGAAACTGACTTCTTGAGACCCCCTTGGTGTATCTCCACTTTAGCCCCACTTCGTCATTCTGTAACACGCTTTATCAGTATTACAATACGTCTGAATCGCTTCGCACTACAAATTTGGCAATCCAAGGAAGTGAACTCAAAACTGGTCCACAATCAACGGGTCCCAGGACTTCTTCTTGCACTTCTAAACGCCCGAAGGAATGTTCTATACAGCTTCCACATGTGAGCTACTTGACAGCCTCAGGATAGCCGTTTGACCCAGTAGGTCCACACTGTCCTGAAATATCCGTAAAACCACACATACCCTGCAGCAATTGTGGTAGCACATAGAAAACGGTAAAAGGAAATCAGGGCTAAGTATACATATGAGTACTTACGAAACTGTGGCATCTGGTGACGGCGGTCTTGTGGCAATCGGTTCGCCTTGGGGATCTTTTACAAATAGGCCGACATCTATAAGTCCACCGCGAATAACCTTCGCAAATTAGTTACGTTAAACGACCCACCTGATAATCCAGAATGAAGTTTGAGATCGGCACGTAGAAAACACACTCCTTTATTCCAGGACTGACAATCAACGTCATAGAAACAAAGTCATCAGATAAAGAACGACCACGTCGGTCCTCATCGGCCGAGGGGAATACATAAGTGTCGTCTAGCTGAAGTTCACGGGGTATATTTGAACGACGTTGTGGGACTTCTCCTTGCCTAGGAGCCTGACGCTCGTCCGTTTCATGGCTATGCCGGAACTGATTGTAGAGGTCGGGCGCGGAGTCTAGTTGATGGTCATCAGATGCTCTTTTGTGGATGAAATCACTGCTTGAACCGAAAGAAACGGGCAAACCGTCCCTTTCCCAGTGTTCAGGCTGATGGCTTTCACGAAGCTGACTTGCGGTACGCCCTTCCGGGTGATGCGACTCAGAGGGTTCATGCACTTTATGCTGGCGAACAGTTTGTGGCGGAATCGTGTCGTGCGACCTTACGGCGTCAAATTTGGCATTCTGGTCATGAAACCGATCAGAGGGATGCAGCTGGCTAGCAGCAGGGTTTTGTTGTCCTTGATCATCTAAATCTAGCCGCATATCAACATTTCCCCCTGTATGCATGTTATCCACATTAACCTGCTGTGAGTATGAAGGGGATGAACCATGGGATTCACTATGGAACTCGGTTTGCCGATAAGGAAGTCGTTGACCTTCGTGACGCGCCACCGTTGCATGTTGGAAACCGGGACTGTCCGCATTCATGTCTGCAGCAGCCCTAGTATCACTCGGACGAGCCACGTAATGTGCTGAAGAGCTGCCGCTAACCTGCGAGGGTTGGGAATCGGGTGGGACATGAATGTGTTGAGTTGCAGTGGGAGCAGTTCTATGTGGATCATTTGTTCGTGAAACATCAGACGATAATGGTGGTTCATGGTACTGCGGAGGCTGTTGGACACGTTGATCGATATTTGGTTGCCCACCCTGGAATTCAGTTCCAGTTGCATGGCGTTGTTCTTTCCCGATATCTGAATTTATGTGCTGCATTTGTTCATGTGGAAGAGAGTGCTGCAAATGCGACTGGGTCCCTGAAAACCGTTCATCATCAGCATCGATCCGGCGAAAGCAAAGTGAGAAACACACCCAGATAGAAAATAGATTACTCCACATTGTCTCAGAACCTCAGGCGTATCAGCAGATGATCATTAAAAGCAGCTGGAACTGGGGAGAAAATGAGAACATTCAAGCAATGTTAAATTCCATGAGTGTCAAAGAATTAATCACGTAACAAATTCTTGGCAATAAAATGCCATTGGATTTCCCAATATTGACAATGCATCATTAGAGGAACTTCAGCACTTCCCGATGTTCACCAAAAACAAACCAAATTCTCAAAAGTCAGTAAAAATGTGTCGACAGTAAAAAAAAAATTAGACAAGAAACCGAGGGAAAATCACGGCATTGCAAATAGTAGCACATTTCATGATGTTTCGGATCAACTTGGGTCGAGAAGGAAACACCGATCGTACCCATCTCAAGTCCCGTTTCTTCCCTACATAGCATACATAATTTTTGGCTTCGTTCAGTGATATTTTCGACGTTTGAGTCTGCTACTTACGATTAAGTGCAAATTGCTCCAAATGCTCTTACAACATCCCCAAATAAGTGCAAAATAACATCACTTCAGAAAGGTGTGGTAATCAATCGGTGGGTTTACAGCAGCTACGAATCCACCGATTGCTTACCCAGCCTTCCTGAAACAATGATTGCTCAATCGATTCGAAACTTTTTCCAAGTGGTTAAAGCGCGAATTTACTAAACGAAAGGTCCGCGGTTCGAACCCCACCTCTGCCTCTCGATTTCCCCTATCTGGGTGTTACAGCTAAACGATTTTTCCAACCGATTGTACACAATAATATTTTCGATCCTTGTAAGGCAATTTCAGGTATGCTCGTTATGACAGGTAACCGAATATAACTCCGAAAATTCAAAACAAGGGATCAGTAATGAAAAGCAATTATCTATCTGCCGTCATCATTGTCAGTTGGAAACCGCGTGCGCATTCCACAGTGATTAAAGCTGCTACAGTTTCTGTGGCCGATGAGCTAGGAAAATAAGACGCATAAAAGAAAGTATCTGATACAATTGGCGATTGAGTCCAAGAACGAAATTGTACTTTTTAGTGGTGGAACCACAAAAGGAAGATGTGCACTGAAGGCAACAGCACGGGTGCATACGCTCCATTGAATTTGCGACTGGAGCAAATGGAGCGATATGGCTCAGTGAATTAACTGACCGGAAGGTCCGTAGTTCGAACCCAACCTCGATTTTTCTTGTCTAGGCTTGGGCAACCTTACAGTATCTAGCCCTCCAGCTTCCTTCGAGGCAAGACAGCTAGGTACTGGAAAGGTATCACGATTACCTTTTATCTTGTCATAAATGTCAACGCCTTGACCCGTTGATACGTCCTCTCTCAGAATAGCCATCCACGTATACGGATATCCCCAGCGCGGCTGAATTTACTGGTACTAGCTCTCACACTTCGCCGCGAAGTCTTTGTTTGACCTTCCCTGGCTCGTTTCCACCCTCCTGTTAAAAAGGATGTGCCTTGGAACTGGTCACATGAGTCTCACCCCGCTTTTGACAAATTAGTTACTTCTCAGCTCTGATCTGCTACTCGCGCATTGCAATCCAGCCCTGGATACTATTGTTGTTTCAGAAGCATCCAACTAAGGTATTGAAGCTGTCATCTCTCACTTTTCCCTAATTGAAACGAAAAAGCGATTGCTCACGCAGGTAAATCCCTAACAATCACCGAGCGCAATTGTGGACAGATCGGAAAAGAAGCTTCAGCGAATCACCGTCATAAAATCTCTATGGACGTCATTTTACGCCCGTCGATAACCATAAGCCGCTTCTCGGCGTTTTCGGATCGAAGAAAGGCGTTCACTGTTTACACAGCCAACCGTCTTTAATGTTGAGCTACAATGCCTTTGGACTACGACTTCTCTATTGGCCACTGGCCAAGCTGATGCATTATCAAAATTCATGGACTTAAAGTCACCAACCCGAGGATCCTCTTCCTGCCGCAAAACGCCTGGAACCAGAAGATAACGCAATGCCTCTTAATGCAATCCGTGCACTTGCAATTACTTCTGTCATGGTTCGCGACGCCATCCGTCACTTCAAAAGTCACTCCACTTCCACCGCACACACTGGCCTCCAGTATTTTCCGATAAACGACTTCAGACGTTCTTTGTAATGTCTCTAGAAAAACCAAATTAGTTTGCAAATGAGTGTATATTCGCTAACTTCAGCCGTTCTCCCAACGTCGATTCTCACTTTCCGAGGTCGATGGCTGCATAGTCTTTGCAGAACGGGTGGTTGTGCCCCCGAAAGTCGAGGAAATACAGAGCATAAAGGCGATAACACGTAGTGGTCTACTGGCCGAATAGCTAAAAGAACTTGTTCGCAAGTGATAAAAATGCCAACTATCTGCAATGTCCCCTCGGAAAACATGATAATCAAGTTTTTATGCCTCTTTCAGAAACTCTATGGCCACGACTTCAAGTCGATTTTACAGGAGCAATCAATGGTCAGCAATATCTGATCCTATTAGATGCCTGCAGCAGCTGGCCAGAAGTGTTTAGCATGAACCATGTTACTGCTTGTGCTACCATTTCAAAACTATGTGTTAAGCCACCTTGGCGTTCCGAATATCAGTTTCTGAAAACTGCAGTGCATTCACGTCCGCTGTCAATAAAATAGCATAGATGCATACGCATCGTTCAGTTGTAGCACCCCTTTTCCGTGCCCAACTGCCATACCACCCGAAAGAAGTGCGAGGGCTGGGCACTGCCAGGTTGCCCAAAACTAGACAGAGGAAGTCGTATGCAGTGGTCGGGCTCAAAATACTGACTTTCGGTCGGTAAATTCGCGCTCTAACCACTGAGCCATCTCGCCCCACCCCTATGGCATCCAACATATGCTATCACCACCGTTCCGCCAACAATCAAATGACCAAGTGGAGAAATTTGTGGACACTTTCAAACGCGTACCCCTAAAACTCAAAGGGGGAAGGCACGATACCGTAAATCGTCCAGACACTTCTGCTGAGTTACAGGGCGACACCAAATGTTAACGCTCCAAATGGTAAGTACCCGGCAAAGATACTCATGAACCGGAACATGCGTTTACCCGTTGATGTCATCCGTCCAACAAACCATTCGCCAACCGGTAGAAACGCAAATATACAAGTTCAGTTCAACCGAGATCACGGCGCTGTAACATATTTATAGCTGGTCAATCCGCGCTAGCCAAAGACCATCGTGATGGTGTGGAAAAGTGGATACAAAGTGTATTGTGCGCTGTGCTGGAAAGATTGTTATTGAGATAAACGTAAGTTCCTCTATCAGGGTCCATCATGCCAAACAGCAGCGCTCTTCCTCTCTTCCAGCGACAGCTAAGCTTGATCCTGCTTTTCGACTGGAGATTCTTCTCGATACAGTTGGATTCGCTCAAAAGCCTGGATCTTCAGAGCCAATAAATGGACCACTAATTTCGACAATTTGATCACCGAGGAGATGGACGGATCGAATAGAAAGGCCAGTCATACCGGCTTAACCCTTGGCAGCAGTCCCACGATCAAGTGCTTCAAAAAGGAAGTGTCAGAGGGACTGCCTCTTAACGAACAAATCCACTTTGCTAGCGAGTTTCTTGTGTACTGAAACCTTCTTTCTATATTTCAGCCTCTCACTGAGATCCTATTGGACTGCTAGCACCTATTATATTCTGGTTCAACTGAATTCCATATCACGGAACGATCCACTTGTCTGCAGTATAACTTCTTCCGTGAACTAACAAGTCTGACTAATACATCACCAGAAGACAACATTTAGGACCCGCGCTTGCAATTTGGATGGTATTATAGCACGTTCATCAAAAAGAAAAGCGACCATCATCTTCAGACAGAGAAAATCGTCGATGAGCACGAGGTGAATGATGCGTCACTGACGATGGTCAGCGTGTTAGGCGATAGTCTAATACTTGATGGAGCACGGGGTCACATATGGTTTCGTCACGGACCATTTTTGAAGCAGCTTGAAATGATCGGATGGCTGCAGCGAGTACGGCGCAAACTTACGGCCCGACAGAAGGCACAATCGTACATTCCGTCGGCTGTCATTGTGAGTTTATCAGTTTTGATAAGGCATCTGCTTGGCTAGTGCTACCCGTAGACTGGTATTTGATTGAAAAATCATAGCCAACGAGAATGGTTCCCAGCCCAAGAGACGATTTGGTGTGCATACCGGAACGCCTTTTTCCAAACCAAAAATGCTGACAAGCGGTTTGAGACCGGTGAGGAGTGTGAAATGGCTATCGTAAGACATTCAGTGGGACGGCAAATACGACTGCAAGTGCTTCTTTTTCTATTGACTCTAAGTGCGTTCGGCTGATGTCAAAGATCGGGTTGCATGAGAGAAGCCTTCTCAGATTCATCAGGAAATGACTGCTCCGATTCCATGACTGGATGCATCTGACGCTCGAATGATATCCCAAGATGGGTTGTAATGTGCAAGCAGCAGGTCTGATGAAAGAAGTGATTTAAATGTGTCGAAAGCTGATTGACACTAAGATGAACAGTTCCCGGGAACATCCTCTTTAAGAGATGATTGAGGGAACCAGGACCACGGTACATCAGCGTCCACTGATGTCCCTTCCCAACCCCTTCCCACCGCACAAGCAAACGTCGCTGGGCCATTTGACCGTCAGCCATCTGATCGAAGGGCCTTAGGCTCCCCGCTGCCCACAAACAGTAAACAAAATAACACCTAAATCCACGAGATCCTTTCTACATAGGAGCTTTTAACGTCCGTACTCTATGTCAAATTGGCAAACAGGCAATGCTTGCTGAAACCTTGTACTCCCTTAAAATCGATGTATGCTGTATCTCCAAAACACGCATACAAGACCCGAGCGTGGTTCTGCATCTCAGTACACCAAGGATGAACTCAGCTCATTCACACTTCTCCCTCAGTGTGTCCGGTGACCCAAAAGCGATGACTCGTGGAATATATGGCGTGGGAGTTGCACTCAGCTCCAGAGCTGAACGCGCTTTGCTGGATTGGATCCCAGTGAACAGTCGTCTCGGCGCCGTCCGGCTATCCAGT